ATGCAAGAGCGATGTGTCTTATTATTTAAAGATAAGCTAGAGATTATTGAAGATTCAAAGTATTATTTTTACGTTCTTTTCGAAATCTTTACGTAACGGATATAAAAAAGAGATAGGTCAGCAAATTCAGTAATTGTATGATAAATTCTTTTCAGTTATTCGATGTTTTATCGAATCCAATGAACCGCGCAATTGAACAGTTTGCAGTTTTTATATCTTTGTACGTAGTTTCTATGTTAGTACGAATGCAACCTCGCATGTAGTACGTGTAAAACGTAATCTCGCGATGACGAAGATAACGAGGACGATCCCGGCAAGGACGATTAGTCATGAAGCGATGGATTACGCGTTATCGCGGCTACGCGTCATTGTTCTTGGTAATCGTTCGCCAACAACGGTATCAGAAAGTAGACGCGCGTGTACGTGTTCAAGTACCACCGTGAGAAAACGCGGCAACGTGAACATCTGTTGCGACTTCGGAAGCCGATATTAAACTAATAGTATATAGTTCCTACTCCGTTGAATAAAATTCATTTTTTTATAACAATAAGAAGCATTAGATATTTTTTTTATTGATCTTATAAAAAGTTGCTTTGTACGAATTTATTGTATTATGGAGAAATAGTTTATATTTTGATAAATCAGAGTAAAGAATAGACTAGCAATTTTTATGCAAAGTAACATATTTGTCAATTTAGAAAGTACAACTCTAGATTGGAATTTCTTTTGTCTTTTGAAAACAATAATATGCTTTTTATTTTGTATGCTGTATATATTCTTCTCAATGTTTAAAATATATAAAATCTGAAAATTTTCAGTCTGCTAATGAATAATTGTAAATGAAGTTTTATACAAATTGTAATAATAACATTTTCGACATTTGTGTGCTTTTTACAAGCTGTTTGGTTGAAATATAGAGGAATAGATTGAACGAGAATTAAAGTAAGACAGCAGTCTTTGATGGCGGCACGGGGTATTATTTCCAGTGGTGTGTCAAGCTCGAAGCATGCGTCGCGTTGTATAAAAGTAGCATTCCGTGTATGGCCTGAACCAGTCATCTCGAACATCGTCGTCTACGATGTGAACACGATCTTAATTTATTCCCGAGACACAGGACGAGGCTAATGACTGGCCACGATGAAGTTTGTGTAAAAACCGTACAGCCTTTGAAGGAAACCAGATACCCCGACTATTCTCACTTTATATCCTAGTGTTGCGCTGTATTCGTTCGTCGCATCGCACCGGTATGATCGTACGGGAATACAAATCGAACCAGGATGAACGGAGGACTGGACAGAGCGGCCGTCGTTCTGTGCAGTCGGGAATATGAAAATTACGTAAGCCGGCGGCGACGCAGAAACTA